ATGTTTTGAAATGACCAAAAATTATACATACGATTTCCGTTCATAAAGTTTTAGCTCCGTATTTTCGGAGTCATAGTCAACATAAACCACATGTTTTATAACAACTTTGAAGACACCCATATTCTTGTTCCCATAAATGTCCGGCCATTTGATTCGTATTCGAATGTGGACACAAACCTAGAAAAGGAAATGAAAACAGCTCATAAAACGAATTATGTATTGTCATAGGAAATTTGAATTGTGTTTCTCTCTCTCTCTCTCTCTCATCTCATCGCATACGAGTTTGCGAAGAAAGCGAAAGAACTGTGTGTCCCGGAAGGAGAAACCGTTGAAAATACGACGTTAAATTTGCAGTTTATCATTGTCATGTCATGCGGTATAAATTATTATAGTTGATTGTCAAGGCAAAAAGTGGTCTTAAACTCGACCACGGAAATGTGGTCACATCACCCATCCTTTTCCATACGCATCTTACTTGTCTTTTTGCACACACTCCCACAAGCAGCAGCCCAATGTTTGTGTATGGAATATCTTTCCAATTTATTTCAATAGCATTTTTGGCTCCGAGATGTTGTGCTGATAAAATGTAGCAATTACTTTGTGTGTGATAAATTTTTGGGCTGATGTTGAACGAGGCAGAAAAAAAAACGCGCTCGCCATGCCATCTAATTGCAATTTGCGGAACATAGGATGGGTGGATAGTAGCGATACAGGCGAATTGTAAAATATGTTTTCCTTAGAAGAATTAAATTGTTGCTTGTTTGAATCACGATTGCGCGTTAATCACCAAACCAAATTATCACCTGTGGTTTTTTGTTCGGCATATCAGGAGGAAAAAAAAAACCAGACGGAACAAATGGCCATGAAATCAGAGCGGCGACTCAAAAAGCAGTTCAAAGCAGTCAAATAACGGTGAAATCAGTTCGACCAGCAATCGAATGTGGCGAGAGAGAAAGAGAGAAAAAAAACGGGAGAAACACAAAAATCCAATAAATTACGTAAATGTTCATTTAATGAATGCCCATGATTTGCACTCGGCATAGGATTCAAACTAGTTTAATCGCACCCTCGTGCACCATATCTCCAAATTAAAATCGAATTGAACGAGAACGAACGAACGAACGGATCGCAGACAGACGAACAGCTCGAATAATTTGGAGGTGTTTTCTTTTGAAACCAAACGCGAGCGAACACGGTGAAAAAAAGCACGCGCGCCAGACGCCAAAATCTGCAAATGCATCGTTTATAAATAACGAAGCAGCGCATTTCCATTTAGCCAAAATTGTTCATTACAAATGTGTATCTGGTTGTGTTTTTCGTTCTGGTAAGGGCACGTTCTGGGTTCGCTTATTTATCCCATTTTTGCATGTTCAATTGCGGCTCAACGATAGTAGCACAGCGTAAACAAATTTCAGCGTCAAAGATATGGGCTTTTAATCGACTGTTTATCGAAAAAGAAAATGCTCAATTTCCTTCGAGGATATTAATCCATTTTCGCCACTAATTGCATTTTTTGCTGCCATTCGCAGGCAGACACGTACTATAACCTCTAAACCATGGCAAACCCCTTTTTCTGTACTAACAACCCATGTTTCGATCGCACGAACTAAATGAAATTGTTAATTTTCGTTTTTATCGACGACGACGATGATGACTATTAAAATATAGTTATAGAGAGAAAAGTGTTCAAATGGGACGCGTTTTTGTTTGTCTTGAAGCTCGAATTTTATTAACCCATTAAAAATGCGAAATAACAACATTGAAAACATAACATAAAATGCCGACTCACTATTCACACCCGATAAATGTTCATCATGCAAACAAATTGACGCCGGCCGTGTTCATGCGTTTTGCAATCACTTTTTATAACGCAATCAGGAAATCAGCAACGAATGAACTGTGTGCGTGTGTATGTGTGATATGAGGCAACACGGCGATATGTGACAGGCAAATGTGTTTTCGAATTTCATTTAGCCGAACCATGTTGCAAAATCAATGCAAAAGTTAAATGCACATACACACACACACACACACACGTATTTTTTATGGCACATGGCAAAAGCTGATGACATCGATTCGGTTCACAACAAGCGCCCTCATACACATGTTATTTTCACATATATCGATGGCTCGAGGGCTGACATTTTTAGTCGCATTTTTCAATTTATTTACTTTCATTTGCACGGCAACGGCAATTTTCACAATATTTCGAACATTTGGAGAAAGACGAACAAAAAATGCCAGAACCCAGGAACCCATCGGGTAAAAAAGGGTCGATTTTATTGTTTCCTATTGAAGACGATGCAACAATACGCAACGGCTTTTGTTACGAGCACACGTACAACTATGGAATTGGGGTTCCAACTAACAGACTCTATAATTGATGAATCAGGAAAAAAACACACACTCTCATAATTATTATTTTTAGAAGAAAAAAAAAACTAAATATTCAATTAGTTTTATAGGCCCATACACACAGTTTTACGCATTGAATTGATATTCTATACGTTGATCAAAAGATAGTGGTGCAGATGGCATGCAATCCTTGATGCAACCAATGCGGAAATCTTGATTTAAAATCAAAAGAATCTCGTCAAATCTGAAAATACAATGTTCACCCGACGAAAAAAAATGTGATTTGATTGAAAGATATATAGATGGTGTTTATTCAATGAACACTCAGTCTGTCTGCAATCAACATTTGTGACGACTTTCAACTGGCAAAGACATTGAACTTGGCTAACAATTGAACCTTGCCATGCATTTAGTATTGTGAATGAAATTATGGTTCAGAAAATATTTGCGATTTCAATAAATCAACGCGTGTCACTCTCGTCTCTTCTAATCTCTCCGCGAAATAGATATCTATTTACATAACAATTCCACATTTGATATCAGAAAAATGTGATCTTGAGAAAAAAAGAAAGATGCCAGAACAAAAATCAAGACCACGCAAATAATGTTATCTGTTCACGTGAATGGCATGAAATTTGATGATAATGTTAATTGTGTGTAATAGATCTTGACTATTGTAGATAAGTTCTAAGTGCTTCTCCGTGCTTCTACTGCCACTGCTACAGAGCTAAACATGGAATTTGGTTTTACGCTCTCGAGAGATGCACGTTCCGTGTTTCGGTTCGTTTACTTTCGTTATAAAGTCGACTTTTCGGAAGAAACAATATCGAATATCGAACAATTTCCGTATGCGAAAAAAGAAACGGCATGAGGAGTTGATGTTTGAAAACTTTATTAGTAGTTTTTCGATCTTAAGACGAGAGACGTTGCAAAGAATAGTAAAGCATAATGATAGCGCTGGCAAAATGAAACCCAGTATAATGAAGGCAAAAGAGTAAAGTGGTGTTAGCAGTTGTTGATGCATGTTGATTCTGTTTCACGTAAATGCATCCCTGCAGCACAAATACACGCACATGTTTACAGTCGCTCACACAGCGATGATGTGTATTTACGAAAGGCAAACAAGCAAATACGAGGAAACCAGATGAGCCACACAGCGTACGATATTTACGTAAAGTAACCGAAAAGTTTTCATCATTGTCTTCGATTCAACGAATCCATCGGGCTAAAGTATGTCGATGTGCTGGGTGCACTGCACATCCGATTGCTATTGCTTCTGCTGTGGCTGCTGCTACTGCTTGTTTGAACGTGCACATACTCTCGTTCTCTATCGCATATGCAATTTTAAGCAGAACGTAAAACGATAACAAACATTTTTTTCTTTTTGTTTCTTCATTTTCTTTCATTCTTCGTGCTTTCTTCGGGTTTTCCTCAATTTTCTTTGTCTGAACGGTGAACGGTGAACGTTTGTTGCTTCTCCCCAAAAGTCTTACACATGCTTCGTCTCCTGCCAAGTAATGGCACTTGGCAAGAAACAAAAATCACCTCCATTTTTGTCTATATCACATCGTACATCTATGAAATTGGTTTCATATAATAAATGTGTAATTATTGCAAGGCTTTTAGTCTTAGCGTGAAGTTAAAAAGTTAGACACATGGAACGCTTGAATGTGGTGCGTTGCATTCGTCTCGTGCAAAATGCCATTGGCCAAATCTTGCAAGCAATTCTTGACTTACTTCGTTAACTACAACAACTTTCGATACATGGCCATTCGATGAGAATGCCTTGAAAAGGATTAATCTTTGCGTCTGCCTTTTCTTCTGCTCGAGTGTTTCATTCCGGCTGGAGTTCTCCCTTGCTCATAAATCTAACGAAAGTCTCCCCGTTTTAGCAAACGAATTGCATTGGCTTCGGCACCCCTCTCATTTGCTTTGTGCAATCCGAATACAGGTATAAAATAAATTAAATCACAACACAATCGATGGGTGAGTCTACGAAACTTTTGAACGCACGAACGGAAAAGTTAGTACCAGGTTAAACCCATTGCTGGTCAATTCGATTTGCGCCATTTTTCGGCTAACAACTTTCTACCCCGACCAAATCAAATAGATATTCGAAACAACGTCTGTACTGTACGTAGCTAAATACTTTCAAGATGATTAAAATAAAAATGCGAGAGGAGCCAGAGCAATGACAACAATGAACGCGCGCGCGAGACTGCAACAATGAACATGACAACGATGATGGCAAGAAAAGTTTGTCATTGTTGCAAAACTTGACGGAGGATGTCGCAAACGAGCAAACCCATTAAATAGTCTGATATTAAATAAGTTTTGTAAATGCACGACAAGGCGCGCGCGCGATAAAGAGAGAGAAAGACGCACTCGTTCTCACTCTGACGCTGTCTCATCATTGAATGCAAAAATACAGAGTATCGTTCGTTACACAACGACCTCGGCCTGCTTCGTCCTTTTTTTCCAACGCCTCACAACCACATTTTTTTGATGATAATAATTTTACGGTCCAAAAAGTTTTCCACTTAACACATTTTAGATATAATTTAATAATTAAAATCGTATTGAAAATTTATTACTTTCATTCTCATTTTTCTGACGATGTTTTTTTTTTCTCTCTCTTTGTGCAGTGCTACGAGATGACTTTCGCTTGGAACCGCAAAATACACGCGTTGCTTTGGGCGAAGTGGCAATCATGGAATGCGGACCACCACGTGGTACACCCGAACCGGTAAAGTTTCATTTTTTTTCTGGCATTTTCGAGCGACTGGCATGTGAATTATATTTTGAGTGCACGGCCGTGGCATTTCTCAGTGGAAATTAACGATGATAATTAACGCCAAAAACCGTTCGATTTAATTTCATTACATAGGTTATTTCATGGCGAAAAAATGGACAAACCATGGATTTGACCAACTCAAAACGGTAAGTGAATCAAACATGACACAAACACAACGTTCTCGATGGCGAGAGAATAATCTCATTAATCTTATTATGGATTTTTTTTCTCTCGCTTTTCTCTTTTCATTCAAAATGGGGCAGAATTCGCATCGTAGACGGTGGTAATTTGGCCATTCAAGATGCTCGGCAATCAGACGACGGCCGATATCAATGTATCGCACGTAATGCGGCTGGCGTTCGAGAATCGTCGGTGGCATTTCTCAAAGTACATGGTAAGTCTAGCACACAGTGTTGTGTGCGGTGGCAAGAATCAAATTAATGTCCAAAAATCGTGTTTCCATTTTTATGCTGTGAGAGAAGCCAACATTAATTCGTGTTTTTCATGTTTTTGTCTCCTTTAATTTTGCGCAACAACAGTGAAACCATTCTTGATTCGTGGACCTCAGAATCAAACGGCCGTAGTGGGCAATTCGGTGACGTTCCAATGTCGCGTCGGTGGTGAACCAGTACCGGATGTTCTTTGGCGCAGATCCGCAAGCGGTGGAAATATGCCTTTACGTGAGTATTGCTTGAAATTTTCGATTATCCGAAAACACAATTGTTCTGTTGTGCACACGCAATGAGAGTTATACAATTTCGATCTTTGTTCCTGCGGCGTTCATTTTCTCGCTCCCCAGAAGGTTGCGTATCAACAACAGGCTCGTAAATTGCATGAATAATTGCAATAATAATTTTGCGTTGACTTGGAAATTAATTTAATTTCCATGCATAAAGCAGATGCTTGTGTTTCGTGTGCGTGTGTTACGCATCATCTACGATTTTATCGGGCACAATGCTGGCGTTTGCAAACACACAAGACACACGCAAATCCAGCACGGATTTCAGGCTGTCAATGTTGCAATATTTATCTCGGCAGCAAGTGAAATGCTGCTGTCGATTTCGGTTAATTACGGATTTTGTTCAATTCACAAATCGAAACAATTTGCATATGTCGTCGTTGCTTAGAGAGACTCAACATTCGATTTTATCACACATTGGAATAAATTGCAACGCTTGCTGAATCACACAAACACACAGACAGCACATAATTTGTTGTGTTGTTGACTGTGCGTTGCAGTGAAATCTAATGCTTAAATAGAAATGTTGTCGTTAAAAAGATAGATTAAATTGTCAATTTTATCGTTCAATCTCAATTCCGATTGCAAACATACAAGTCGCAATTCGTTATTGGATTTTCCCTTCGAAATACATGGTCTGCGATGTAAATTTAAATATCTCATTGCAACTACAAGCAATAACGAGATTTTCATTTCGGTCTTTTTTTCTCCCTCACTTGCGCCAATAAATAGATCGCGTTCACATTCTCGAGGATCGAAGCTTGCGATTGGAAAATGTTGGATTAGATGATATGGGTGAATATACATGCGAAGCGGATAATGCAGTTGGTGCCGTTGCATCGACCGGAAATTTAATCGTTTATGGTAAGCTGCATTTTATTTAATTTGATGACTTAAGAATCGCGATGATTTCGAACATGCGGGATTTTCATGTGATGTTTTACGTTGCATTTTACTTTTTTTACGTTGCATTTTTTGTTGAGAATTTTCTTCGGTTTATCTGTATCTGTTTATTTTGTCTCGCTTTTTAATTTTCCGCGAGTATTTAAATATTTTGTTCCTTGTTTTTATCCGTTTTTCCCATTTTCCTCAAGTTTTTTGTTTCAATTATCCACTTTCTTATTTAATTTTAATGAATCTCTCTCTATTTCTCTCCCTCGCAGCTCCTCCGGTGTTTACGATCCGTCCAAAGACGCAAATCGTCGAATTAGGAAAGGAAGCAATCTTTGAATGTGCGGCAAATGGATATCCAAAGCCAACGACCTACTATTCCATCGAAGGGAATCGTACGCTTATGTTCCCGGGCTACAAACATGATCGCATTGAAGTGACCCAAACGCCAGAAGGTCGACTTTTATTGTCGATTCAAAATGTTCAACGAACCGATGCCGGTAAAATTATTGTATGCAGCGCCGTCAATAGTGTGGGTAGCACTAGTACTCGCGTTGTCGTGACAATAAATACACAAGAAGAACGTCCACCACCAATCATTGTGCAAGGGCCAGCCAACCAAACGCTTCCAATCAAATCGGTCGCCACACTGCCATGCAAAACCATCGGTGGCCCAATCATTACAATCGCCTGGTACAAAGACGGTATACCGTTGGTCCTCAACGATCGCATGAATCTGTCGCAAAGCGGAACGTTGACCATCAGCGAATTGAGCAAGGAAACCGATGCCGGTCTGTACACTTGTGTTGCCAGCACAAAAAGTGGTAAATCAACATGGAGCGCCTATTTGAAACTTGAAGCTCCAACAAATCCGAATATTCGCTTCTATCGTGCACCAGAAGCGTCCACCTTCCCCGGCCAACCTGGTAATTTTTTAAATCAAATTTCTCTCTTTTTCAAAACGTTGTTATTGCAGGGCACATTTGCTTGTGGTTATTTTTTGTTTTCGATTCCAATTTCCTCTCTTTTTTTGCCTTTATGTTCCGTTTATTCTCTTCGTCGCACTCCAAATTAACTAAATGAGTTAAGTTATTTGCTGTGCGCTCCAAGTGACATAAAAATCTGTCATGAGTATTTTTTTTACGACGCAGTCATTGCCAAAAAGTAAATTATCTGCTCGTATTGCTTACGAGAGACAGAGAGACTGCGTCCGATGATACCCTAGCTGTGTGCTCAACTGTGTGCACCACGAAAACTGTGTATCAGTGTTTAATTTAATTTGATACGAAATGAATGGGGAATATGAAGTCTCTCTCTCTGTCTCCCGTTTTCGGTTTTGGAGAAAAAGAAAAAAGCGGCGGCAGCAGCAGCAGCAGCAGTGAAGCAGCAAACGGAAAACCACATTGAAAAATCCTTAGAGAAATCTCCCATTCACTCTAGCCAATGTGTGTTTGTGTATATTTGCGGGTGCGTCGTAATTTTTCAGCGATTTGTTTCGTAGACACCATAAGTACTCATCTACCGTCTGTTTCATTTTGCCCCCAAAAAAAAAAACCAAAATACATACCCAGCACAAACAATTCCCTCGCAGCAAAACCATTCAACTAATTTAATTTCCAAAACTGAACGTAGCGAAGAAAAAAAAACACACAGAAGAGAAGAAATATCATTTTCGTTATACCACTGGCAAATGCTCTCATGCCCCAGCTCTGTTCGATTGAGTCTAAATATGAAACATATTTTTTGATTGTTTTAATTTGTCATCATCCCTCGTAGGCAAACCGCAAATTATTGAGAAAACCGACAACAGTGTGACAATAACATGGTCGCGAAGCACGAAAATTGGTCAATCGAGTTTGCTTGGATATACCGTCGAAATGTACGGTCGCAACGATACAGACGGTTGGGTAATGGTTGCTCAACGCTTACAAGACACAACCTATACACATTCGGATCTAACGGCAGGCATAAGCTATTACTTTGTGGTTCGAGCGGAAAATACACATGGATCGTCAGCACCCAGCGCTATTTCAGAGCCTGTCATCGTTGGAATTGTAAGTACAACACACACAAAGAAAAATGTCATCAACTTATTTCCCAATTGCCAGAAAGTTTATGCAACTTTTCGACAAATTCCATCAACGAAATACTTTTGGCAAATTAGAACATCAAATTACGAGGTTTTAGAATATGAATTGGAATTTTGGTGGCTGCATTCAGGACACATGAGTAAAATTAGAATTCGTCAAAAAGCTACACACACACACACACACACACACACACACTATCCAATTAAAATATTATGTGCACATTAAATAGATCGCAGTCGACGAATCTTGTACAAACACTGTGCAATGCAACCAACTGTCGTGTGCTTTCATCAAAGAGATGCGCTCACCTTGCAACGAATTCGTTAGCATGGCGAGTGTCAACTATGTGCATTTATAAATTTCATTTAACAAACTTTTCGTTTTGTACACACGCTCCCATCTACTCCCATACTGGGAGTGTATGTGTGTTTGCATTTGGCATTCAATTTTAAATTAATTTATATTCTCGCATTTGCACATATTTATGTTGGACGAGTAAAACAGTGGAAGCGATGTGAGCAAATGTCACCTATCTCGATGACTTCATCGACATCGTTTGCATGTCTCCAGCGGTGGTGGTGATAGTGGTAGATGCCAGAAAAAAGAAGGAAAGCAAATATATGCATTTTGCCATTCATCATCTCGTCGTACATTCACAATATCCACCGAAGAGACGAGGGAACGAGATGAATTTGTGTGCTTTTTAGAGCCTGGTGTGTGTGACAAAGATTGCACATAATTTATGTGTCTCTTGCTTTGTCTCTGTGTCTATTCGCTCACTTGGTCGCTTGCTCTCTAGCTGTGCTTGTGTGCATGTGTTCTGTGTGTCGTGTCTTGATTCTTGTTCATTTGTTCAATTTCGCTTGATTCCAATATGAAAAACAAACAAGCGCACACATATTTGATGTATGAACTGAGCAGTCAGTCGAATTTATACTCAGCGCTACGCCAGTGAGTTCCGGTTTCCTGTGAATATACAGAAAAACAACCCTGTAAATAAACAACAGTCAAATTGCTGTGCACAAGACGCATACCAATTTCAATATTGCGCGCACAATATCTTGACAGAAAATCATTTTAAGAATGTGCTTCTCGCTTTTTCTGATTACGGCCAGAACAAAACACAACAAAAGAGCGCCCCGAATTCCGTTTAATTTATCCAATGCACAGCGTTGTGTTTGAGCTGATTTCTCTCATGGTCTTTTTTTTCGTTTTTATTTTTCAATTTTACAGAATGATTTCAACACTGGTCTTGATTTGAGCGAAGCTCGTGCCAGTCTACTGTCTGGAGATGTTGTTGAACTAACCAATGCAACGTCAACGGATTCAACCAGCATGAAACTTGTGTGGGAGGTAAGCATATCAAAAACACTACTACATTTTTCCCCGCTCATTCCGCTTTTCGTTTGGAGAAACTACTAAAATAATTCGCCCACCGAAAATGAAGTCTCTTGCTCGCTCGCAAAAAGGATGAAGCTTATAAATTTCGCAAATGAAAAGAGCACACACAATGCAACTGCGCTGCTCGCCGTTATTGATGTGCAAATGCATCCATGAGTTCCATCTGCATTCAACTCGATCTACAGACAAATACATCAAGCTGAGAGTGCAGCTCAACTAAATATTAAAAATTTATCAAATTATTGTCATTCACATTGCATTGTTGTTTTAACGCTAATTCTATAGCTCACTCTCTCTCTGCTCGATTTTACATCCGGATAAAAATCCATTTGGAGCATTAGCGAAAGAGCTTCAGGGCAACTCTCTGTTATTGAATTCAATGCTTAAAAAAAACAATTTCATTTCACCAATTTCAGATCATCAATGGCAAATATGTTGAAGGCTTTTATATCTATGCAAGACAATTGGATTCGGACAATGATACGTACAAAATGTTAACGGTGCTTAATGGCGGCGGTGCATCCACATGTACCGTAACCGGACTCGCAAAATACCAATCCTATGAATTTTTCATCGTTCCATTTTACAAAACCGTTGAGGGAAAACCATCAAATTCGCGCGTCGCTCGCACACTTGAGGATGGTAAGTTTATAGCTTTTTTTCTCACATAAATACGTGCCTCGGTTGAAATAGATGAATTGGAGGTTTTTTTTAGTATTGGAATTTTAATTCAAACCAACAAGAATTTGCGTAAACCAGATCAAAGAATCACAAAATAAACGCCGATTTTTTCCGGTCAGTTTGGTATTTTCAAAATCACGGTAGAAAGGAAAAATTCCCATGTCGCAATGCCAGTCATTTATTGAAAATTGCAATTTTATAGACGAAATTCTCCAAAATCATGACTTTTTTTGTCTTCCATTTGAATGTTCATGGGAATTTTTGAGAAATTCAATGTTCATGGGAGGTTAAAATTGAGGCTGAACGCTAAATTGAATTCAGCGTCAAAAAAAAAACTGCACAAAATTTTTCTCTCTATCGACTGGAATTTAGCAATTTTGAAAATAGCTCGCATTTTCCCACCGACGTTTTTTTTGTTGTTGCTCGTTTTTAGCAGGATTTTAATTTTAATTTTGCTTGATTTTCAGTTCCAAGCGATCCACCATCTCACATGGAAGCTCTGTTATTGAATTCCTCCGCTGTCTATCTGAAATGGAAAGCGCCCGCACTTGAAGCCCACAATGGTAAGTTTGTTTCGCTAAATAACTGCTTAAGATTGACACTATTGACCTACAAAAACGAATTGAGTTTTGCCCAAGTTTCACTGACACCCGGTGTTTTGTGAAATCCTAAACGAGAAAACGCTGCTGAAATCAGTTTTTAATGCGATTTTCTTTTCTATTTTTAATTCTCACGTAAAATGCGAAGAAAAAATGTTGAACAGCACCGAGCATTTTATTTGATTCGTTTTTATCGTGTGCTTCATTGCTCAAGCCATTTATTTTCAGTGTGAACAATTTTCCTTGGATTTTTTTCATCATGTTCTTCTTCTTTTTTTTACAATTTGAAAAAGTTCGCTGCACATATATCCAATGAATGTTTACCTCTCTTTTTTTGTTTTCAATTTTGAGCATGTTCGTTTATTTTGCGCGACGACAACGACGACAAGATGCTTAAAATTGTTTGAATTGCGCTAAAATGACACGAAGTTGGCGATGAACAAGATGTCGCCGGATATTCTCTCGTTGTTGCTTTTTTCTTCCTTGTTCTTGCTGCATTTCTTCAGCGCTTGAATATATTGTAGAGATTTTAGATAAAAGCCGGAATATAAGCGAGCAAAAAAAAAAACCGAATTACATCGAGTTGTAGCACTTGGTTCGTAGAAATATGAATGGAAACGAATCTTTCCAAGTAGTTGTCGGTTTTCTTCTCTTTTTTCTTGCTTATTTTTCTTTCAATCTCAATCGTGAAATTGTACGGAAAAAGTTTTTCCGCTCACAGAAAAATGTTGCAGATAGTGCAAAGTGTGTACCTTTCAAGTGTGATAGCTCTTTCGAGTAAGAAAAAACGCTGATGCTTAAAGTGCTTTGTTCATTTCATCCAGCAAAGAAGGAAAAATAGTGTGAAGAAACTTTATAAAATAGGCAATTTTCCGTGTTCTCCGATGAAAAATTGAGATGTAAAACCAAAATAGAACAAATAGGGTTGAACAAGATCCGAGATGAGTTTGTTTAACAAAATAATCCATTTATATCGTCATCACTTTGATTTCGCATTTATTGACGAGCTGTTTATTGATGCGCTCGATAAAATCATTCTCCGTTGAGATTTGGAGTAAAAAGTTTTGATATAATTCAATCGGGACGAGTTTGTAATTAAATTACTCATTAATGAAAAGTTTTATTTGTGTTTAATGCACACGCACGCAGCCTCACTTAATTTGCAAAACCAATGTTGGCATACATTAACTAAAGGCATTCAAGTTGAATGGTTGTCGTCATTGAACGGTGTAGCTCATCACCTGCATCTGAATAGACCTTTGTTATGCGATGCCTTTGATGTGTATGTGCCTTGTACGCAGTCAATTGAAAATGCTCGAAGCGGCACAAAGTCGAAGTGACAGAATTCGACACCCTCTTGATATGCAAGTGAGATTGTTATTCAAGAGACACCGAAGCGAAGCATGGTGATTGTATCGCATATACATGAACTTTATCGGCAGCCGTGTGTCATTTCCAACGTTTGATGTTCAACTCGGCATGAAATCACAATTTTCATTGCGGCGGAAAATAGTGGAAACTTTGCATAAACTCACATTAAATATATATACTAGCTCCAACAACTGCAAGCACAACTCCTGTTTCAAAAACCGAATGTTAACCGAAAAATGTATTTTCTTTCATTTTATTCCACAGGCATTTTGCAAACGTATCATATAATCGTCCGTGGCTACGATGCAAACATGAATCGGTCTCGTATTCTCACCAATGTTACGATTGACGCAACGGCACCAACACTTTTATTGGCTAATTTAACCGAAGGTGTTACATATACGGTTAGTGTGGCGGCTGCAAATCGAGCTGGTTATGGACCATACAGTGCACCGGCCACACTTCGATTGGATCCGATTACCAAACGCCTGGATCAATCAACATTATCGCACAGGTATGTACCAACATCCCATATATAAAATAAAATAAAATATAAACGGACACACATAAGACGTGTTGATACGTGAAATTGAGAAGTGTGTCCGGTTTGAATTACTACGTGATACGTTCGAGTGCATTTCGAGGATTTCATTTCGACTTTAGCAACGAAAAAAAAAACACAAACACCGTTTTTATAGCGTTAACCACAAGCGGTGCTGATTTTCAACGGATTTTTATTTTTCGTCGGTATTTTTGTCACGATTTCATTTTTGTATCATTCGACATTGCTGAACATCGTTTCGAATTTTCACAATTCATTTCATTGAAATATAATATCTCATCTTGAATCGAATAATTCTCTTGGTCTTCCCCCCACTTCCTCTCCCACCATCGCTATGGATTTCATCGGTTTTCCTCCGGTTTTATTGTCCTGTGTCACCGAACGTGTTAGCGCACACATGCCAACCACGAATGAGCAAACGTATTTTACTCGGAATATTTCGAAATATCCTCACATTTATCGCTCGTTGGTACAAATAGACCAAAGAAATGAACACAATATGTGCTTGTAATTTCGGCACTTAAATATTTTATCGTCAATTTAACGATTACATTTATCCCATTTCGACTGACTTAAGCAATGATATGAGAATTCCTTTAGACAATTCTCTTGCGCTGGCTTTTGTCTTGCTCATATTTTAGATTCAATCCAATGGGAACGAGCTCAAGAGAGCAATAAAACAAACTTTAACAAGCGAATTAATTTCCATATTTCTTATTGAATTTGAATGTGTTCAGTGCGCAACGACATAAAAACCGAGTTGAGCATATGTGGTTAAAGCCGTTTTTATAAATGCTCGCCCATATTTCATGTGGTTACGTATAGATTTTGTGTCCAGCAACGGGGACGATTTATGAAATGAGAAAAACACTTGAGGAAATCTCCAACATGTACCACACATTTTCTAAATTTAGCCATCGAATACATAGAAGGTAGCGTCAAATGCAAACGCGTTTATGTACCAAACTTAATGAAACCCAATTTCACTCAACGGTACATACAAAGTGTGTACACACACACAAACCTGGTCCGGCACAAAAGCCATTCGCACATAAATCATAACAACAACAATGGAAAAAAAATTGAGAATAATTATTAATTGTTTACATTTCGCTCTGGTTATTTCACTTTCATTTGCAGATATCCGATAAATCACGACCATATGGATGATTGGATAACACAGACCTGGGTCATGGTGTTGCTTGGCTCATTTTTCGCCGTCATAATTATGTCGTTTGGTATATACGTATTCGTAAAACGGAAGCATTTGATGATGAAACAAGGCGCACTCGGTAAGTTTAACAAGACAAATTATTCCTCAACAGTCGCATTCTCTGAGGCTAGAATAGCAACAGCAAAAAAATAGAATAGAATAACAATCTGACCGCAAATTTGCATACAAAACGGAGTGTGGCGTTCATTTTCCATCTCGTTTTTTTAATTAAAAGCAACCATGTGTTTGCCTATGGCAGCGATTAAGTAGCATTCTAATACGGTGATACATCATATGCAGGTGATTTTTACAATGAGCAAAATGTGTTCGGTTTCCCTTTCTCTCGATCCATACACAATTCATTGACTGAGCTATTAATTCACTTTCTTCTGGACATTTATTTTGTGGCAAAGCATTCGCTCCCCTTATTAGGGGAATGAAAATATTCATTCTCCCTTTCTCTGCTGCCCATTCGAGAATCGCAATTCTCACTGCTGTGCTATCAATGGAATGGCTCACTGTTTATTCGGAGTGTTTTGTTTGATTTAAATTTCCCTTGTTCAAACATCGTCGTTACCACTGCAACCAATGGTGGATTGCAATTCGGCCCCCTCGACGCATATCATAATTTCAACAACGCACCGGGCAAAATTATGAAAATTTATAAAATGTATTCTGTCAGAAGGCATTTTCTCAACATTTTGCGGTGGCTCGTTGTTTTCGTAAACACTGTTTACGTTCCACCACCATAATCATATTCGTACACAAGGCAAAATCCATGGCACACGCTCTCAAATTGCTTTGGTTTTTCATGCCATTTAGCATTTGGAAAGCGAGTGTGTGTGTGAGTGCTATACTTTGATGGTATTTAACAGCACACCACTAGAAACAAGCCAATTAATTGGGTTTGTTTAGAAGCACCTTTCATCTAGCGTTTAATGCATAACAATGGCAGACGAATACCAGAGTGAGAGTAAGAGCGAACGAGTGAGGAGAAAAAATTGTGCAATGTGTGCTTTTGCGGTGGTCGGCATCATTATGTGTGCACATTTTTCAAATAGGCACAACGCTTTGCTGTTGTTACACTGTTTGCACAGAGGCCATTGTTTATCATCTTTACTGTGGTGATTATTTCATAAATAAAACACTGTGTTTGTTTATCGAGAAGAAGTCGCCGCGCATTGTAAACATTCTTTTCGCACATTTTTTTTCTGCTGCTGTTCAGATTTGATGTTTGGTTTACCATCAATGGTTCGATTGCGTGGCACTTTGAAGTGTGAAGTTCTTTATTCATACAGTTAATTTATCGTTGCACGAGAATTTCTTTGACTGGTACATTTTTGTTTGCCGGCATTTTTTCGAAATTCTTTTCACATTTTTCTACCGTTTTTTTTCGCATTTTCCTCACGAGTTTTTTTTTGTCCATTTACGTTGGTTCAATTTTTCCGGTTGCTTGAGTATATTTGTTTTTAAAAACAATTTATTATGTTCGCATAGAAAAAGATACCGATAATGACACAGCATTTAACCGAGCATTGGTGCAGCTAGAGGGTGGAAAAAGTCACGTAAAAAAGCGATGGTCACGAGCACAAGCAATTAATAAACGTTTTCTAAATGATTTTTAATGCGAACAAGCGAACGCGTCGAACATTTTGTTCACTTTCTCGCTCAATTTTTTTTCCTGCTGCCCCTGTTGTCTATTGAATATTTAATTGACATTTGCGTTCGTGTGTATTTAGCACCAATCACTCGGGTGATGTTTTTTATTTGCTGTTGATAAAAAAAACAGAACACAATCGCTGCCTTCGTCTATCCGGATACAATAAACGAGATTGAAAATGCCAACACAATACTAATCGCATGCAAAATTTATAATCTATCCGACATGCTAAAGCGTAAATGGCTTTCAATTTTTATCACTTTTGGAATTTATAACGAACGCCGATTTTTTTCTCTCTCTCTTTTTTTCTGCAGACGCTCGTTCGAACAGTGTTTTGAAAATATCGAGTATATCACGGAACCGGAACGGTTTTTGGTTGGATCCAACGGGCATGGTGTGGAGACAAACTGAATTGCCAAAAGACCAGATAGCTGACTATGCACCGGTGTGTCAAACACCAACCATTCATCGAGATGTTGATCAAAATGGGTAAGTTTTTTTTTCTTTCTTCGTTACTTTGCTGCAACGCAAATCCTCTATCATGCTCGCTTAATTGTCATGTGTATTCATTTTTTGTTTCTCTTTTTTTTTTCGTTTCGTCCTTTGCGCAGTTTCATCAATGATTATTCCAATTTTCCGGCCGATTACGCGGAAGTATCAACGTTCAGCAAAGCACCAAGCGAATGCAGTGGCACTCGTTCGCCTGCACCGTACGCTACCACAACTCTAGTTGGCAATTCCCGTTTGATCACCATGAAGAATGTAAACAATCAAAATATGTACTTTGCCAGCGACTTATACAATCCACAAAATCGCTATGTACACTCGGAATCGTATTTCAATCCAAAGGAAAAAATCAATATCACGGAAAATCGACTTGGTTGCAACACATTCAATCCGAATCATGCAATGGCAACGGCAGCACCGTTCGGTACGATACGCAAAAATCGATTGAAATTGTTACGCAATCCGAATTTTCGCATTGGGCTCAGTGACGGCAAACTGAACGACTCGAATAGCAGCAATGGAAATTTGACTAATTCAAATGGAAATGGACAACAAGAGCAACTGTATGTGAAAATTGGCGAAATGAACCCGGCATCGAGTGAATACGATTACAGTGGAATGCGTTGGGGCAACCAACAACAACAACAACAGCAGCAACAACAACCAACCGATGCATACCATCAACGACCACCTCAAATGCAACACTACGAACAAACGCATGTGATGCCATCGCAGCAGCCACCCCAATCGAATACGGGCTCATCGAATCAGAGCATTTACGAGAATCATCATCGCCAAAACAGCGATAAGGACATGATTTATGCACCTTCGGCCAACCGAAGCATTATTAGCTATATGAGTTCAAATAAACGTTTTGACGAAGTGTAGATGCTTCTCGGAGGCAAAACACACACAAATGGATAATAGAATATTACATTATTTATGTGTTTAGTTTAAAGCAAAAAAAAGAAAAATCGACGAAAATTCTGTACATTTTGAGAAAACCCCTCAATCTAGTGATTAAAATAAATACGATGATAAAATGAAAAGGAATATATACCAAAATTATACTCGAACAATTTGTTGTACGCGCTTCAGGAAGCATGGCACCTGTAAATAGACTTGAATTTAGCTCGTAGGATAACTATGCATCTATATATATATATATCGCTCGCATTCACTGCAGAAATTTATTCACCCTCGCCCACCACGCGCACGAGTGTGTGATGAAATATTAATGAAAAAAAGAATTATGAACAACATAAATCCATCACATCGCAAACCAGTACTTGTAATGCTGTTCACTCTAGATTAATACATACAAAATACTCAAAATAATCAAAAATGCCATTTTTTCCACCGTTTCATTTACACACCAAATTCTCAATTTGAACTTGAAATGAGACTGAATCTATTTCTTCCCATTCAATGTTGTTGCATTTCATATTTTCTCTCCATTGCCGGTTTTCACATACATTTCAATTGTTACATAAATGCGTAGAATCGATGCGTTTTACTGTCGTAGTCATAGTAAGAGAATAAAAAAACAACCAGTCGTAAACTACTAGATGCGCCTGCGGCGTGAATGTATAAATGTAATTTACTAGCGATTAAGTCGATAACTTTCAAACTTTAGGAGAGAATAACTGGCTAATTTATATAACAAATTTCAAATTATATTCATGTTCAATGGACAAATTAAAAAAAACAACAACAACATATTGAATTCATGCAACTAGCATCTAAACTAAATTATCTGCTAAAAAAAACATTGAAACACTATCGAAGTATGAATGTGGAATATATTGTGTAAATCCGTTACGTATTAGCATTTAAATGTACGTACACGTCAATATCATAAGCATTACAAGAAAACAAAAAAACTAATATATCAAAATGTGTATAAATGTATGCGATAAAATAAAAAAAAACAACATTTTCCCAGAAATTAAACTAAATCAAAAACAAAATGGTTTTTATTTCATCTTTCAAGCTTTTTCACAATAGTTACAGATTTTAGTGAATTTGAGACGATTTTTCCTGGCAATTCACATCACATTTTCACCTTCTGCAGTCGGACATTAAATAAAGAAACGGTAGAAAAACGCCAATTTGCAGTGTTGTCATTTTGTCCACAGTTGATTTTAATTACTATTTACTTGCGATTCGCATCGCTGATCAAACAAAACATGATGAATGATTTTTTGTTGCCGTCAAAAGATGCTTGAAGCGGTTGTAGTTACATGCCATCTACATGAAACCAAGCACGAGTGAAATTTTCCGTCGGCACGACTGAATCGGTTGATATTTTTTTTTCGTCCCTATTTACCTGTGAATCTCCAGATGAATGCGGATCAGAATCAGAATCGAAATGACAGAAATGTCTGTCGTGTGTCATGAGGCATTGAATGCATGTGTGTATTTACCCGTTGGAAAATCTAATCTTGCGGTGTGATTAAAATGCATGCACGAGCATCGAATATCAAACGAAACAATAAACCAACTCTTAGGGTGTCTCATTACATACGTATTCGAGTTGTGGAATGTTTTCGTTTTTTCTTGTATGCGATAAATTTTTGTTTTGATGTTGTTTTTCAATTCTCGAGGCAACATGTTGACTCTTCTCTCTTTTTGCATTGGCCATGCATACAAATATGTACGCATCGAAAAACGGCCGCTTTTCAATGGAGCACACAACGGCAGAGAGTAGAAAAAAACACCTCGTCCAGAGAAATATAGCGATGCACATACTTCATATCGAATGAAAAACTGCAACTGAGCGCTTGAAAAAGAGAAGTTCAGTGTGTGTGTGTGTGTAAGAGAGAGAGGGAGAAAGAGAGAGAAAAAAATGCGCGGGGAATAAATAGCCAAATGGAAAATCAACTGCATTTCATCTGTGTTTAAAGCAGATTTTTTCATCATCGCCATTGAATGCAAGCGCTTGCATATTAAAACCTGGAAAATGAAAATTCCACTCATCAACAGATCCATATACAGCGAGAGCACAAGGGCCTTGCAAACATTTGTAAAATCTGGCCGCTCTTTTTTTCCCTCGCATTCACATTTTTCCGTTTACATTTCATCTTTGAGATTGAACTTTTTTTTCCTGTCCAGCTGCTGTGTCTTACACTCGAAAAGAGCGCGCGCTGAGTGAATTCGGCGGGGCCATCATAAATACAGTGCACACAAAAATCGCCTTCAATTTGTGTATACAATTTGTTATCCTGACTTTATTTACAAGTTTTTTTTTTTCTCTGGTCTGTGAAAGCGTCCAACTGTTTTTCACATCGCGAGTTCGAGCGATTTTTTTCCCGTTCGATGTTGCTTTGTGAGTGTTTGCGATAGTTGAATAAATATTTTTATTCGTTCGTTGTTTTGGTTAGGTAGTTTTTGTTGGGCAAGGTTTTTACTGTCTTTCCATTTAACGATTTTCAGGAATACAAACAATATCTGGCAACCGAATGCAGGAGAATTGGAAATAAAAACACCAAGCAAACTTAAGCGATGCCGGTGTTTTTCCTTTCACAATGCTCACGTTTTAATGGTTCAATTTTGTGTTTTGGCATGTGGAAGTTTAACTTTAATCAATGCACGTAATTTGCTTGTTATTTGTCGAAACATCTGTTTTTTTCTTCTTCATTGTTCTCTGGTTCGCCCATAATAATCTCCGTGCGTCGAATCGAATCCAGCCGCACGTAGAACAAAAGCGAACGAATAACAATTTTTATTATTGAAAATGGTTAGCAGACACACAAAAGACTCGCCAGTTAGTTGCTATTTGAAGCGCTATTACGCTTAATAAATTGAATCAACGAGCTTTTTTGTTGTTGTTATTTCATGTTTTGAAAAGAGAATGAACGGTTATTATGCATTATGTGACTGACAATGGTTCTCCTCCATCGCTGTGTGTAGAGCAAATTGCAAACATCGATTGAAGGGAAAAAAACACCATTTTGGCAATTGCAATCGCTCGCAGCAACGAGCAATGATATTAAGAGAGAGAGAGAGAGAGAGAGAGAGAGAGAGTGAAAAAGTAATTAAAAACGATAATCGATTGACTGGAATCAAACTCAGTTACAGAGTGTAATCAAAACCCATCAAATGAAATTAACGTGTGATTCTCTCGAGCTTATTCTTTTTTTCGTTCACTCTTTCTCTCAATATGTTCGCACATATGATCGATATTGTTTTTTATCATATCGCCGTATGCAAACTAAATTGATTTCCAAATCCATTATGCTGACTAAATGAGTTAAGTTCATAAACGGAGATGGTGTGTGAATCGAAATCCAATTAAAATTCATCGCAATTGCGCTGCATAAAGACAGAACCGTTGTGTATTGCATATGAATACAATAAATGATGCTCAGATTGCATGTATCAATATTTATTTTAAAAAAATCGCTTTGGAAATGCATTTGATCGTATTGCAATTTTTATTCCGTTTCTGATACGAAGTTGATTAAAAATGTATAGCGGATTGGTGTTGATACAAGCAATACACAATGTTATTCATGTGCAACGAAATGAATAATTTATCCATTAATATACACATCGTATGTTGAGTTTGAGTTCACTTTAGCCATCATGCCCATTGTTGCGATGAGGATGTTTGTCATCATTAAATTTCGATTTGGTTGTGTTAATCGCATAAGACATTCGCAATGTTTGAATATCATTCATCGTTGAATTTTGAATGATATCTCAATATCTAATGTGATGAAATTCTCATCTCCAATTTGTCAATGGGATCGAGCTAATAAATGCGAATGCATGTGATTTGAACATGAAATAATTTTCATGTAATACAAATGCCACTAACCCACTGGCATAAAAGAAATGCAACATGTCTATTCATACAATTTCCAAATTGAATAGCCCAAAAATATCTTTGATATAATGGATACGATGTATCGATTGCAAACCATACTTTTGTGGTGGAATCGACATAATAAAGGCACTGCAGAACGAGGCAAAAATACCAGCCGCATAGAGAGATATTTTGCTAGAGAAATAGAGAGAGAGAGAGAAAGAGAGAGAGAAAGAGAGAGAGAGAGAGAGAGAGAGTGAGAGACTGAGCGCTAAATTAAAATCCACTATCATTTCAAATGTGCACGTTATTCAAAGCTTTTGGATGGGCCCATTGTGTGCGTGCGTATGTGCCTTCGTTTGCAATCAGCAATATTGAGTGGCGGTCAAATCATAATCATTTTCAACAAGGGTCCGTGGAGATATTAGCAACAATGTCAAAATTAATGGCATCCACCGTTAGTGAGATTGCAAATAATGACTGTGTAGTGTACGCACGTTCAACCAAAGTGGAACTTGGAACAAACGGCCGAAAATTACTGTTAGACATCGAGAGAGGAAACGGATGTATGCCAACGATACGACACAACGATATGCTCACTCTCTATGTGCATGCGAGCGCGCGCACGCACGTAACAAGGCGAACAAGGCATAAATGTTGCGTTTTGTTGGGCCACATGTCAATGCTAAAATTTACGCAAAAGTATTCCGGTATTCGGTAGCCAATATGCCATAAATCTGGAGGCGGGAAATTAGCTCTCTCGCTGGCCATTGCATTTGGATGCATGCATTTCGAACATATAAATGACATACGTGCCAAGCCTTTCTCTATATTCCTCTCTCTCTATCTCTCTCTCTCTCTCTCTCTCTGTGTGTGTGTCTCTCTGTGTCGAAAACCGAAAAGTTCACTGAATGCATTTTGATTTAGCATTGTTCAGCATGAATCATTTATTATTATCGGCACATGCATTTGTTATATGGCCACCCGACTACGACCGAGCCATTCGACATTGCATGCGACGATGGACAACAACACATTCAAATCAATGTTAATAATAGGTCTTTTAAACGATTGTAATGAAAACGGTGAACATTGATTGCGAACTACCAGCGCCGCTTACTGGGCATAATGATCTATTTTCGAGTCGATCCAAGTAATTTTGCTCGATGTGAAAAGTTGAATTTCCATCGATGGACAGCAATCGTTTTACCATTCCGAATATTTCCAACTATCTATGGATACAAA